ATAGTTTATCAGCATAAAAGGTTGATTTCGGGGTGACTTGCTCTTTAATAAACAATAAGTGTTTATTTCTATACATCCTGTACATGTTGCACATCCCCATAAGAATCTGTCTGCCGGAGACAAAAATACCCGAGAACATCGGCATTGTCCACGTAGACCCGACCTGAAATAAATAAAACTCAAATTCATTCCCGTGGCCCACTTTTCCATTTTGTATTACAGTACATGTAAAACAAGACCTTGTTTTTGCACGATTAAAAAAAAACAATCGCTTTTACGTTTTTGGCTGAAAGGGGGAAGAACGATTGCTACACACATTTGATCTAAACAAAGTAAATAAAATGCTTTTATTTTGGGAGTATTTTGGTTTCTCTTGGAAGCAAACATTCCAGGCTCCTGTTTATTTCTGACCGGCTGCTGAGATTTCTGATGGTTTGTTTTTGCATCTTTAACAAAAGACCCGTGTTCTGTGTCCCCCCCCCCCCCCCCCCCCCCCCCCCCAGGCCCGACTCAACTGTAAACACTGCGGGAGGCCGGTGGTGGACGTCCGAGTCGGGATGCAGTATTTCTCCGAGTACAGTAACGTTCAGCAGTGCCCTCACTGCGGAAACCTGGACTATCACTTCGTTAAACCTTTCTCCTCCTTCAAAGTCCTCGAGGCTTATTGACAAATGTTTTCATGCGTAATAGTTCATCTGCTTTTGTTCTTTTTTTCATTATTTCTAACTCAGTCTAGAAAATATTTTATTTTGGGGGGGCTTGAGGTGGTTTTATGGTTTTAAGTTCTCTCCTTTTAATGTACAAGATGAATTTTAATGGTTGTAATAGAGAATTCAACGTTTAAGAGCAGCTTCTGCTGCTGAAGAGTGTTGATAAAGGGTGGAGATGACATTTACGTCAGGCAAACGCTTATCTGACATATGAATGTATCTGCGCCAAATTTGCTTTTATTTTTTACCAAAAAAACTATCTTAAAATAAAGAAAACAATTCACACGGATGTTGGTTTTACGTGTTCGTCGCGTCATCTCTCCCATCACACAAATGGACGTCTTTTATAAAGATTCTCACAGGAAAAAGCAGCAAAAAGGAGTTGGCTTTGATGTTGGGAGTGGATTCACATCTGAGATGTAACCACACACACATCTTGTGTTTTTCTTCTTCTGGAGAAAAAGTAACTCTTGAAGCTCAAAAAATGGCTCCATGTATTCCTAAAAGTTGAATGAGCTTCCGTTTCTGGCTAAACTCCATCCCTCGAAGGGGTTTTCTGATGGTTTTACACGATCTTTTCAACAAATGCATGAAAACAATCTGGATAATAACCTGTATTATTTTACATGACAATAATTAATTTCAACTTTAGGTCAATAAAAGGTTTTATGTTTGCATCCATTTTTAGCCACTTTCTGATGTTGATCTTTTGATGCATGTTTTATTCATCATTTGATTTCCCTTTGAGCTCATCTAATTGTTTTTATTCTTCAGGTGTACTTTCACGGTCACGTTTTTGTGTCTCTGCTGATGTTCCAACAGATTCTGTGCCTCTTCAGCTGCTTTTCCTCTTCGTCACAACAACAAGTGTCTTTGAGGCCAGCTGACTTGAGTCGTAACAGGAAATGATGACATTTGCTGCCTGAAAAGAGGCTCCTGTAGCCCGTGAGCTGTGTCCACGTCCATGTTTGATGTCCAGCTCACTGCTGTGGGGACTCTTGTGTTGAGTCTGTGTTGCCAACAGGAGGTGTTTTACTCCGAGTGTCCTCAGACGCTGAGGTGATGGACTGCGACTCTGCATCTTTTTCCTTCCTTTTCTGCAGCAGTTCCTTGGCTGATGGCGGTCGGAGGATGCACATGGCTGCTCGACCGTCTTTTATGACCTTTGGTTTGGAGACAAAACCCACCGTCATGTTTATTTGTTCCACTATTTGTTCCAGAGCTGCGTCCTGCAAGAAGAGAAGAATATGGCCACCTTAAGTAACATTTAGAGTAAATACAACAATGGAAATGAAATATGACGCTAAAAGAAATGAATAAATCAACCCTTTCTATCACCCAAATCTCACATATCTCAAATTAAACCCAAACTAATATGGAAAATTTATCATTACTGAAATTTCTGACTCTTATCAAGGGAATTTTTCCCATGTCAATAAATTCGGTAATTAAAAAATGAAATATGTGCGTACATGGGCAATGCTCATGTTCCTTTACGAAGCTGTACCATGTGACAGCACCATCTAGTGGACAACTTTTGTCTCTGCATACATGTAATTATTGTCCATTCATCATTATCAAGGTGGAATCCTCAATATATGGTGATTTTGATTTTAGGCCACATTGCCCAGCCCTACTCACCAGGTTATCTGCAGACTGGGCGCGTCCCACCCGCAGAGTGACCCTAACATGGTGTTTCTTCTCCAGCCAGCTCTCCACCTGCTTCAGCTTGGTGGTGAGGTCGTGAGATGCAATCTCAGCTGAAAAGGTGAGCTCCTTCACCTGCACAGGTGCTGCAGAGGGAATCCAGAGAAGATGGTGATGATGCCAGACGCAGTATAGACCATACACCCAGAGAGAATGCAGATGGGTTACTGACATAGCTGCGTGAACAGCAGACTCATTCATTTATTTACTGGTAGATTTGTAAAACGGCTGCATAAAGAAATTCAGTTTTCTGTTAAATCTTGCATGTCGAACTGACCTGTGTTTCTGACGTACCTGCTTTTGCTTTGTCTTTCTCCCTCAGCTTCAGTTGCTCTTCGTGGATCTGTTTGCCTCTCATTAGCCGGTACACCGGAGGCTCTTTGTCTGCAGTCAGCAGCACCAGTTTAAGTTCCTTCTCATCCATGATTCTGATCACATCTGCTCGATGCATGACGCCCAGATTCTCACCGACCTCGCTGATCACCTGTATCTCTCGGTGAGGGATCTTACGGCCTACGCTGCTGATGGTAGCGTGAGCTTGTGGACCCTGCTGCTTCTTCTTTGTTGCAGGAGTCTGTTCTACGTCTTCTGTGGAGAAAGGGGATCGTCCCCAGGATGCTGCCAGGATGTTATACCTCCCTCTGCATGTAGGTGATCTTGATGCTGATGTCCAGGACCCAGGCCTGCCTCTGCACACGGTTCTCACAGCATGGCTAAGAAGCAGCCTCATGCAGCCTGCAGACATAACTAAACATAAAGATGAGATTATGTGAAACAAGTCACACAGAGATTAACTTAAACATACTTTTAGAGCATTAGAGTGTACTGAAAATGGTGAAAAGACAGCCTACGTCCTAAAAAACCAGCCGATCAAAACAACTTAAAATGATAGATCTGGTTAAGTCAACTCAAAACCTGAATAAATTTGGCTACATTCTCCCAGAAAACTGATTTTCTAGCTGCTAAATGCTCTCCTCTTACCTTTGATTAATAAAATATATCAACAAGCTAGTTTTAAATAAAAAAATGTTAACTGGAACATGTTGATTAAATTAAACTTTTTAAAATGTGTAGATAATATAAATCAAGCAAATGTAATACTGCATCCAGTTCTGAGACAGTGGTGTTTACAACCAGTAACATGTGAAAAACGGTGAATTAAAACGTTTCTGGGAGCAGATCGTTCACTTATAGCGTCAAAGAGTCAACAGCATGTCTAGGTTTTACTTTGTTTTCTATTTTTGCGTTTTTATAAAAACTCACTGTGGTTTGACGTTGTTTTTTCAGACCATCAGGGTGACTGCTGTCCACTTCCGCTGCGTTCTTCTTTGCTGAAAAATACAAACGTGCTCTCTGCCGCCACCCAGTGGAGGCAGGCAGGTTGAACGACAGCTTCTAAAGCGACTTCAGATTTCCCTCAAATTCAAGCCGCAAAGTCGTGATTAAATTCATTTAAGGCAGCAGATGCTTTACTTTTAAATCACAAAGTTGTATTTATTAATGTATTTATAATCTAAAAACACTTTTTGAAAATAAATTTAACATAAACCCTTCTTTGTCCTTGTTAGGGAAATCAAGGAATACAAAGTTACATGAATTTCGTCTAAACCCAGGTCCGGGATGACCTGCATTCAGCATGTTTTAGTTGTTTCCCTGCTCCAACAAACCCGATGGTTGAATCACCTCTTCAGCAGGTCATCAAGCTCGGCAGAATCCTGTTAGTTACTTAAAATAATGTGTGTTGAAGCTGAGAAACCTGTAAAATTACAGAATGGAGGTCTGCGCAAACGAACAAAATTGATCTAAACAACGATACAAGCAGCTAAGATTGCAAAGTGGTTTCAGGTGAAAAGTGTTTTGTTCTTTAAGGGTTAGTGAAGGATCACACATCAGACCATCTCGTCTCTCAGTCTGCAGCTCAGACAAACATTTCTTTATTAGATATCAACACCACCTGTGGTCTTTTCTCCATGTGCTTCCCTAATGTGCTCTTTAAAATACAGTTGGCCTCTGCTGGCCACCCATGTAAAACAGTGACTTTTTACAACATATCAACACAAAAGGATCTTTATTTTTTTATGTAACTTGAAAATAAGTGCAGTAAAGGTCTTTAAGGTAAAGAGAACTGCTTTAAATTTTAAACTGATTTACAAACGCCATCTGGGAAGAGTTTATACATTATAAATATATTTATTCAGTAGAAAACCTCATCAAAGTGTCTAAAAAGGGTAACAAAGTGTTAAAACCGTGTAGAGCTATGATGAAAAAAGCTCTTAGAAAACATGGTTTCAGTGATTTTTTTAGTGTAGATTTAGTTAATTACCAGAAAAAGAAAAAATATTCAAAACATATTTCAAGAATGTGCTGAGATCTTCTTTTCTTTAAAAAAATGCTAAAAAAAATTATATGACAAACAATAACAAAATAAATAAATGCAGGACAAGAGAGGAATAATTTCATGTTCTTGTGCTCAATTGCCACATCTTTCATGTGAAGAGAGAAAACAAAATACAAAATAAACAAATAAAACAAAGATAGAAACCAATTTTAATTTTGAGCTTTGAAAAGGAAATGCCATGCAAACCTGAGGGAAATCTGCAGGCTTTAAGTGGAACACGGGAACGTTAACATGACTGACAGGAAAACCAACAAAACACCCAACATAAGAGGAAACCTCAGGCAGAACACAAAGGCCTGTACTCAAATATGTGATATCAGGTTTACTCCACAAGAAAGTGGAAATAGTTGAAAATATCCACATTTCCCTTTGTGTTCGTCACAGCCGAAGCTATAAATACAATGTAAATCAAACTCTTGACAGCAGAAACTGGAATCTATCCAAATGTGAAATGACAACTCCAGTTCTGTTTCAGCTCTGGTAAACATCAAGATAGAAGTAACTCCATTTGAAAGTGTTGAAATGGCAAAAGCAGAGGATTCAGATGCAGAAAGAAGAAGAGAGACAATTTAAAGAAGCAAATAAATGACTTTAATAGAACTAAAAGCACCAAATGGTGAGAATTTAAAGTCCAAACCGAAAATAGAACTAACTTTTGTAACAGAACCAGAAGCCTGGGATGATGATTAGGTGATCTCAGACAGGACTAAACCAGACAAAAACATGAAAAGCAAAAAAAAAAAAAAAAAAAAAAAACCCAATCAAATCTGATTTATTTTACAGAAAAATGAAACCTAGTCTGCAGTTCTTGAAGGGCGACCATCCTGGAAATTTAATTTGCGTCCTTGTTCCAAGACACCTGATGAAAAAGAACGAGTATTAATAGTTTTCTGCAGAACTCACTAAAGAGGTGATTGAATTGTGTGATTCGGGTGTGCAGGAGCAAAAACGTGTTAAACCTGCAGGACGGTAACGACCACAGCTGGGGGAACCTGCTACAGACTAAAGGCTTAACTTCACATTTTTGCACCATATTAAAAGGTGAACTGTTTCGGATGAGTTGTTGCATCTAATTTTATTTGTGTATTTTAAAGGTGCAGTGTGTAAGAAATAGAATAAGGTAAGATGACATCTTGTGGTCAAATCAGGTTACTGCAGTCACTTTCTCACTCCTGTTCCATGCGTCATGGCTGTTGCCAGTTACGGGTCAATCAATCAATCAATCAATCAATCAATCAATCAATCAATCAATCAATCAATCAATCAATCAATCAATCAATCAATCAATCAATCAATCAATCAATCAACCAATCAATCAATCAAAGCTTTATTTATATTTAGCGCCTTCCACAACCATTTTCGGGCGCCCAAGGCACTAGAACACATTGTAAAAGACATAAAGTCGTAAAAAGAGAAGTTAAAACATAGAACATAAAACGTAGAGCATAAGACAAAGCGATAAAACGATGAATAAAAGCGACCTAACAAGGAATAAAACAGCAATTTAAAACAAGAACTAAAAATAACATAAAAACAAGCCGACTTCAAACATGTTCTGGAATTTTTTTCTTCTGGTGGGTCAGCACCAGAAGATTCTACATGACAAGCAAAGAGGAGTTATAAACAGAATGGTTATGGGTAGATAACTACATTGTCATAGCCGGTGCTAGTGCTCCTGTGTGTTTTACGGTAAGGAGCACTAACTACACTTATTACAGTAATATGCCTCTGGCATAGAGGAAGTGTTGTCTTGCTGTTAGCTTGCTGTTACCTCTTATGATGAATTATATAAATGGAAACCGTGTTCCCTCGCTCGGATGTGTGTCACCGGGGCCTCCCTCTGGAGCCAGGCCTGGAGGTGGGGCACGTTGGCGAGAGCCTGGTGGCTGGGCTTTCACCCATGGAGCCCGGCCGGACACAGCCCGAAGAGGAAACGTGGGTCCCCCTTCCCATGGACTCACCACTCGTGGGAGGGGCCAAAGGGGTTGGGTGCAGTGTGTGACGGGTGGTAGTCGAGGGCGGGGACCATGGCGGTCTGATCCTTGGCTACAGAAGCTGGCTCCCGGCACATGGAATGTCACCTCTCTGGTGGGGAAAGAGCCTGGTTTGGTGTGTGAGGTTGAGAGGTTCCGACTAGATATAGTCGGACTCACCTCAACGCTTGGCTCTGGCGCTGGAACCAGTTTCCTTGAGAGGGGTTGGACTTTCTACCACTCTGGAGTTACTCCACCTGAGAGGTGCCGAGCAGGGGTGGGCATACTAGTTGCCCCCATGGTCTGTGCTTATGCACCAAACTACAGTTCAGACTACCCACCCTTTTTGGAGACCTTGGAGGGGGTGCTGGAAAGCGCTCCTTCCGGTGACTCCCTCTTTCTGCTGGGAGACTTTAACGCTCACGTGGGCAACGACAGTGAGACCTGGAGAGGTGTGGTTGGGAGGAACGGCCAACCTGATCTGAATTCAAGTGGTGTTTTGTTTTAGGACTCCTGTGCCAGTCATGGATTGTCCATAATGAACACCATGTTCAGACATAAAGGTGTCCATATGTGCTCTTGGCACCAGGATACCTTAGGCCGCAGCTCAATGATCGACTTTGTTGTTGTTTCATCTGACCTGCGGCCACATGTCTTGGACACTCGGGTGAAGAGAGGGGCGGAGCTGTCAACTGACCACCACCTGGTGGTGAGTTGGCTCAGATGGTGGGGGAGGATGCCGGTCAGACCAGGCAGGCCCAAACGTATCACGAGGGTCTGCTGGGAACGTCTGGCAGAGTCTCCTGTAAGAAGGAGCTTCAATTCCCACCTCCGACAGAACTTCCAAAATGTTCCGGGGGAGGCGGGGGACATTGAGTCTGAATGGACCCTGTTCCGTGCCTCCATTGTTGAGGCGGCAGACCGGAGCTGTGGCCGCAGGATCGTCGGTGCCTGTCGTGGTGGCAACCCCCGAACCCGCTGGTGGACACCGGCGGTTAGGGATGCTGTCAAGCTGAAGAAAAAGTCCTATCAGGTCTTTTTGGCCTGTGGGACTCCAGAGGCAGCTGACGGGTACCAGCAGTCCAAGCAGAACGTGGCTCGGGTGGTCTCCAAGGCAAAAACCCGGGCATGGGAGGAGTTCGGTGAGACCATGGAGCAAGACTTCCGTACGTCTTGGAGGAGATTCTGGTCCACCATCCGGCGCCTAAGGGGGGGGGGGGAAAGCAGTGTGCTACCAACACTATCTATAGGTCTCTGCTCTTTGCAGATGATGTGGTCCTGCTGGCTTCATCAGAACGTGATCTGCAGCTTTCGATGGAGCGGTTCACAGCCGAGTGTGAAGCAGCTGGGATGAGAATAAGCTCCTCTAAATCTGAGACCATGGTCTTGATTCGGAAAAGGGTAGAATGCCTTCTCCGGGTCAGGGATGAGGTCCTGCCCCAAGTGGAGGAGTTTAAGTATCTCGGGGTCTTGTTCACGAGTGAGGGAAGACTGGAGCGTGAGATCGATAGGCGGATTGGTGCTGCGTCTGCAGTGATGCGGGCGTTGTACCGGTCTGTCGTGGTGAAGAGAGAGCTGAGACAGAATGCAAAGCTCTCGATTTACCGGTCGATCTACGTTTCTACCCTCACCTATGGTCATCAGCTTTGGGTAGTGACCGAAAGAACGAGATTGCGGATACAAGCGGCCAAAATGAGTTTTCTCTGAAGACTGGCTGGGCTCTCCCTTAGAGATAGGGTGAGAAGCTCGGCCATCTGGGAGGGGCTCGGAGTAGACCCGCTGCTTCTCCACATCGAGAGGAGCCAGTTGAGGTGGCTCGGGCATCTGGTCAGGATGCCTCCTGGACGCCTCCCTGGTGAGGTTTTCCGGGCACGTCCAACCGGGAGGAGACCTAAAGGTAGACCCAGGACACGGTGGAGGGACTATGTCTCTCACCTGGCCAGGGAACGCCTTGGGATTCCCCCGGAGGAGCTGGCCCAAGT